AACGTGAGGAGCCACAATGTGCTTCCATACAGTTGAGATATGCAGCTCATTAAACTTAATGCCTTTCTACAATTTCCAACTTAGAAGGTGTTCCGATTTACAGGAAGTCGTAAACTTAAGAGAGACACAAACAGATGAATTCCCACTTTATGCAGGAAGTGTGACCGCCTGTGTTTGTTCTGGAACATTTTGGATAACAGTAGAAAACAGTAAAGAATGTCTGATTTACAGCAGACAATACGACTCTCATGGACAATTAATAGAGGAACGATCTCTTCCACCCAACGTTTCAGGTTTCCATTCTATATCATCCTGTGGAAATGTTTATCATTTTAACGATGTCAATGATTCAATTGAGCTAATTAATAAAGATGGCAAAACACAAGTTATTCGAAAATTAAATGAACTTAGCCTGAACAAAGGTAAAATAATTTGTGGACTATATTCCAATATTTTTGATGTGCTATTTTTGGCCATATCTTACAAAAATAACCGTGGAGCTATTGTGAGACTAGACAAAACTTCTGGTGCAATTATTGTGATTGAATCTGACAGTCGAGGTAAGCCCCTTTATGAAAGTCCAAGATGCACAGATGAAAATACGCATGGAATACTTTGTACTGTAGACGTGAAAGGAATTGTTCTTTTTCCATTGAGCACCAATACAAAAATACCCTGTGCTAAGGTTTTGTATCCTCGTTATGTTGTGGCAAATTTTAAAGATCAGTTTTTGGTGTGCTTTGGACCCGAAATGCGCCCACTTCTCGGAATCATCAATGACAGTGGTGAAATGCGCAGGAATGTGCCTTTCCCTTCTGGTGAGATAGAGCTAATGTGTTGTGATATAAAACACAGCCTTTTGATTGTTACAAATGACAGGTCAGTTATAAAGAGAATCTCCCTTTTCATGCTTCAGACTGACATTCCCATCTGCTCCTTAAACGTTCAAACACCTGCATGCTTGTTATTGTAAGAGATATTAGTTTTAAAATATTTATTTTTATTTGTAAAACATGAAAAAATTAGATAAAGTATACAATGAATATATGTATATATTTTCTAAATGTCTGTGACGGTCCATCACTTTTTATCACAAATATGGTCGTTAATGGCACTTCTACAGCTTATTTACACCGTAAAATTCAGCATTATAAAATCCATTTTCCTCCATTTGACCAGTAAATTTGTTTGTGACTTTTCTATAAAGATAATGATTAATTTTTGTCAACATTAAGGAGAGAATGTCGGCTACAGGATTCACCCCATTCAACATTGTCTTATATGCGTGCATACCCCAAAAATTCATGAAAAAAAATAGCGGATAAGAATAAGATGGTTCATAAGGAAGCAGAATGTATTGTTTACTGTATGTAGGGAAATTTATTTTTGCTCCTTTCACACTCCAAAGGCAGGAATTTTTAAGACATGGCAAATACAGGGAACAGAACTATTTTATCTTTAAAAAGAACTGTGACTGTAAAACTAAAAAAGTGTAAATTTTTTTAATTTAATTTCTTTTATTCATATACATGTATTCTGCAGAATGCGAAAGGGCGAAAAATTACAGTATTGAAACCATCATCTCTATATCTGTTCTTTGTACATACATATAAAATAAACTTTTGTAAGACTTTGTAAACGTTGTGTTTTTTTTACTTTTGGGAGATAGACTAAGAAGACTATCTAAGTTTTTTGAACTTGTGTCCCTTTGGAATATTGTCGATAAAACATGCTCAAACAAAACAAAATATCTTTTAAAGGAAATTCGTTGAATGAATAGGTTCAGATACATTTGAAAGCTAATTATAAAGAAAATAATATTTATTGTTTTACCGAATTAGGCAGTTAAGTTAAAGCCATGTGTTGAAAAACCCTTTGAAAAAGAAAAAAAAATTCATGCAATTTTTAAAAAATTGCACACAATATCAAAAACATTTGTGTATAGAAATACCTTAATTTTAACAGCTCCTTGGTATAAATTAAAAATCAAGCTCAAACTTACCGGTGTGCTTAGAGACAGGGTGTTTTCCTATGGTAACATGGCATCAAAACAAACATAATCATATCCACCTGAACAGAAACAAAAATGTTCAACACCTATATCAACTCTCATTAAACAGAAATGGAAAAAAAACTACTTCTTTATGAATCAACTTTGTGAAATCTAAGAAAATTAGAATGAAAGCGAATTGAATTAAAATTTACATTTTCCTTTATCATACTCAGATTAATCAATGATTGTATGTATGTAATTTAGATCCTAAAATATTATAAAGGATCAAATCTTAAAATTTGTTTATCGCATTAGCATTAATTCTATAGATATTTACATATAATACTTTGCCAAGGTCACAATCAGTTACGTAATAAAGGTATTACTTCGCTAGACGTTACTTTTAAAAAATGCTAAATTTTAAGCCTTTTTCCGGAGATAAAATTGTCTCATTGTCTACACTAAAATGAAATTACACAAATGTATAAGGAATGAAGCTTATTTCAACTTATGTCATACGATATAACATAACTTGGGACAGTTTACGCTTTTATATACACCGCTTCGCGGTTTATAAAGCGTAAATTGCCCCAAGTTATGTTATATCGTATAACAAAAGTTGAAATAAGTTTCATTCCTTAAATAAATTGTGCTCCTTTATGGACATTAACCAATTAAATTTCATTTAGATAACGAACAGTTTACAGCCTAAAAATCCATGAAACAATACTAAATAGGAGCAAAACAACCACGATCATCAAAAACAACAGAGGTGGGATCAGGTACCATGGAGAAGTGAGAATTACCTGCCTACCGGTCACATCCTTGTTATGATCGGGAAATAACGACCATTCCGTATGCAAGTAATGGCCTAAATATTAGAATGAAAAGTATGAGTCAGCATTTAATTTTTTTGGAAATCCTCGTTTTAGAAATTGTACATATGTTGACCATCCTCTTGCGTATCGAATAAACAGAGAGATATAAACCTAGTCTACGGGTGATGAAGATATCTTGCTGTATAAGAAAGGAAAGTTGACAATTGAAAAGTTAAAGTCATAACCTTTATCATAAAGCTTGGTCATTAGATTGACTGAAGGATTAGGACTTTCTGTATTTAATTCCATTTTGGGTAATAACTGCTCTTTATAGACCAATATTGAAGAAGCCAATGTGGTGGGGAATAAGAGTTGTTTATCAATTTTAATGTTTTTAAAAGTACTATTGTTTTACTTTGTAAACAGTAATAGTTACAGATGGGGACAGAAACAGGCAAGAAAATACAACAAGTTTACTATTCACTGAGGAGTACTAGAGTAGACTAGTTCTTTAGTTGATCCCTAATCTGTATTATTTTTTCTCAAAATGGATCAACATAGTTTATCTGTGTGTTGTATTTAAGTGGATTATTTTCAGTATTGAATTTATACTCAGGTGACCGTTTAATCCCTCCACCATCATATGTTTCCTATTGCGTAATCAAAAGGATAATATTCAGGTTTTAATTTTTAAAAAATCTGTTTTAGCCATCTTGTTGCAGATCTTGTTGATCTGGGATGAATGGTATATAAATGGTTCAGACCTGGAATAATTCAATCAAAAGACCACTTTATTCGAGTAAGGTTAATAAAAGATAGATTCGTTTCACACTAGTAAAAAGCATGTTTATTACAAGAAAAATTACACAATCTACACGTTAGAACACGTTCTTTCACAATCTTATATTTTTGAATAGTATTTTTTTTCCTTAAAAAGACTTTAAAAGAGGTTTATTGAGGGACGTATTTATCAAAATAGTTCACAAATACACGAGGAAAAGCGTGTAAAGCACCGGCATTCAGAGATTGTGTAATAGTAAAACAACAAGAAACATATTGACGCAAGCGTCAAAAATCGGCCGCAAACCAATTAATTAATTCTTTCATAAAACAATTAGAAACTGAATTCTTATATTTATCTGTTAATTGATACGTATCCCTGTGACATTTAACATTGGAATGCGACATTCGAGGATTTTCTTCAGTACATAAAACATGTACATTGCTACATGTACAATGTATTTAAGCAACTTATTCATAGTCCTCTGCGTCCCCCACACTCAGATTCATTTGTACAAATTAAACGAACTCTGGCGGAAGTTTGATGTTTAAGTAGTTTTACAACTTAACCATTAAAACTAACGTTTAAACTTATTTGACTAGAGATAGTTTAACTTTAAATAAAATGTAACAACTATGTGGGGCTCCTCGCTTGCTCAGAGGATGTTAAAACCCCAAACTCCCTCTAGATCCGCCACTACATTTCTTCTCTATCTTGTTTTGGTGTGAGATGTGGCGGAAAAGGCTTGGCATATTGTAAAACGCGCTTTATCCTTGTCTGTTGGAGAAAAATCTCCTAATATTCTGTCTGATAATAAATTAAGATTAAGTCATATTTTTGAAAATTTTCCGTATTAAAAGTATATTGTATATTTATATTTACACGTCATTTTAAATTATATATACAAAAAATCCTGTTGAAGTAGAGAAAGTAAATTTGTTTGTATATAACGCGGTCCTTGCTTTAGACTATGCCCATCATGTGTGCTTATTTCTCCGCACTTCAGTTACGTCGGAGTTTGTCAATCATGATTGGATGAAACATTTAACCCATTATTAATAAAATTTTAATCTTATGATTATGTGCGTTTTTGTTTAACATTTAGTCACTCTTTCTTAATATTCTATTACATGAATGTTAAATATTTTTTATTCAAATTGTTCTAACTCCGCAGAAACGCACGGCAACTTAAAACTTTCATATCATATAACCGACCGCCTCCTGGCGGCCGGTAATAATGCATTTACTGCTTACCAACTATAATTTATTTTAAATACGGAAGAAATACACGCCAAAGTTTTGATAAAATTCAAATGCAAATAAAGCCGATTTGTTGAGAAATTAAACAAACATCAATTGAAATTGAATACATGAAATACAGAATATGTTTTAAGAGTCAATTCTTAAGATCATGTCGAAAAACCAACACACGATATTAATTTTTTTGACTGGTTTGTATTCTCATCATCATCCATTAAAAATTCTCCCACTCGACTGTATCTTTTCCATTTTTTCCCTATTTAACTTTTTAATTTCATTTTCAGGTATTTATTCCATATCTGGAGTTTTCTGCTCATGGGTGACATGTTCAGAAAATGGGGTTGCATATATGTTTGAAGAGCAAAAAGTTGATTGGAATGAGGCAGCAAGGGGATGCGAGTTTGCCGGTGGATCTTTAGCTATTATACGGTCGAATTTTGACGAAGATTGTATCGTAAGTAAGTAAATACTTCTATCTATACTGAGAACATTTGTATTACAGAGGAACTGTTTGTTATGAAGGAAGTCGAACTTAAAACAATAGTAACCTGAGAGTTTTCTAATATTGCAGGAAACCTAAAACAAAGTGTTGGTCCCTATTCTATTGGAGGTACAAAATCCTCCTCTGGACTTTGGACATGGATGGATGGCACCCTAATTACTCAGCCAACGTACTGGGCGACAGGTGATGTTCACTTTGTTAATTTTAATTCAAGTTTATAAACCGATTCTTTACCTGAAAACCTTTGCTGACGAATCTATATGTGGTGCCATCAGGCGTACTGTACTTGTCAATTTTCTTTTCTTTATCTTTTCAGCTCACCTCGACGAAGTCGAGATGAGCTTATGCTATACATCTCCCTCCCGAGTCCGTGTTGGCGTCGGTTTCGGCGTTAGAGTCGGTTTCCGGGTTAAAATTTTAGGGGTAGGTTTTCGTACCACGTAAATATGAGCTCCACCAGGACAAAACTTGCGTGAATGATGCATCCAAGGATGAACACATACAGATTTACTTCGGATGCTAGTTCTGACCTATATTTTCCGGATCAGTTACCAGATTAGTATAGAAGAGTAAAGTTTTGCCATACTTTAACCAAATTAGTAAAGTTTTTATGGTATATCTGCTGATGGAGACTTCCAGACCAACTTTGAATGCTGAGTCTGAAAAAGACAACCTTTTTTTATTATGACTGACCAGGATAAAGTTTCGGACTACTTAAATGTTGTGGCATGTTGTAAATTAACTTGCATGAATGATGAACACTTTCAGACTTGCTCCAGATGTTTGAACTCACAGAAAATTATCTTTATAAGTGAATAAGGTTAATTTGTTGAAACAGGTTCATTCTAAAGTATTTTTAAATTCTTATTAAACCAAACTTGCATGGATATTGATCACTTACTAGAAAATAAATTGTGTGTTATCTGTCTTACTAATAGATAACAATCGTCGAGGTGAGCTTCTTAATCTTTGATTATCTATGCTTTACATGCCATGGATCTGCCTGTAAGTTTTCCAAGGAAGTTATGAACTCAGTTATCTTCAAATTAAGTTTGAGAGAATATAGTGACTCGCTTGTTTGTTAGCACTTAACATGTATTTCCTTTGGTTCAATGCCATATGTCACTTTCGCTGAAATTTGTAAGGTTAAAAACTCACTGCTGGACATTAAGACCGGTACTTAGTTCGAATAAAACTGCATCCTCCGAGGTTCCATATTGCAGTAATTAATGGCACGAAAAAGATGTCCCACAGCTCAGTTGCCCTGGGTGCCAAGTATAGGTATTGGCCTCCACCGGCAAATGGTGACGTGTCTACAGGAGTGAAAAAATCTCAAGAGAGACTGGAGGGACGTTAAACAAGAAAAACAAATCTTGTTATTTGATGAATTACAATTCCACAAATTTAGAAAATTTGACAAATTATATTTGATGTACACGACTTTAAATAAGTATTATCTTATCTATTTTAAACAATTTGTTTATAACTTTTTATTGACCAATCCGATTTAGGTCTAATATTTCCTTGAATAGTTAAATTAGGGAAGTATCATAGGTAAATTAAATTATATATTTGAATGATTTTAAAGGTAAAATGAAATGGAACGTTTCATAAAAAAAATGAACATTTCCCTTTCATTTCTACAACATCAACAATACACATATGATTGGTAATTACGATTCGAAAATAAATTCCGAAGATACTCAGTCGTCAGGTGCCTAGGACGATTAAACAAAACCTGCTGTATGCCTACATTTTGTTAAGATAGACGGAATATTCCGTGATTTTTTAAACAAAATTTAACAAATGATATGAAACACATCAACCAATATTGAGATCCATAGATAGGTTATATATGTTATCAACGTCATATTAAGTTAAGCATAAGTTAAGTTAATTTTAGCATAACGGGCTACGACCGTTATGCAAATTATCCCATGTTTCCCACTATTGTTGATGCCCCGGCATACCCTCCTAACTAGACAGTGATTCCTTATATTTCCATTTTTACTTGAAATAACAATTTTCAAATAAATCGAAATATCGTCTTATTTAGTAGATTTGAAATGCACGCGGCATTCCATGTTATTTTCCATTGCCCCGCCCCATGACGTCAAATTTTACCATAAAAAGTCCCATACAAATGTTACGATACTCTAAAAATATTTTTAGATATTGCGTCACTATAGTTGCTTTTTTTTTTATTGTGTGACGTCACTCGTTCCCCTTAGGAAGTTCTCGGATGTCGCGACTATAACCGAGGAACACCAGCACGCGATCGTCTGCGACAAAGGAGATTCAAGAGACTTTAGACATTCTGGAATGGTGGACTTTTCATACTTTATAATTCGGCTTTGGCTTTGGGCTAACCGTGGAAGTATTGCCGTGTACATAGCGATCGATGTCCGTGGAGCTAGAGGACTTCCCTTTTGATTAACAGCTGAGTAAATTCTGTCCGCGTATATTGCAATCTAATTAAAATTAGATGTTAGATTAATCTAATCTAATTAAAATTAGATGTTAGATCCGCTCGCATACCGGTACTCACTACACTAACATAGTGTAGCGAGTAAGCGAGCGGATCTAACATCTAATTTTAATTAGATTGCGAATATTGTTTACTTTTGTGTGTGTGTGTGTAACTGTAATTGTATGTGTTTGTTTAGTATGATTTTTTTACCATTAAAATTTGTTTAAGTTTTAATTCGTTTTGCCTGGTGTGTTGTTGTAAGTGTGTCATCGGGAGCCAAAAATAGATTTGTGTATTCGGCGCACGTTACACAAACACGGAACAAATTTAATGATTATTTAGTTATACTGCCGTCAAATATCAACATTTATATAATAAACAACTTAAGAATTCTATATTATGATCGAAGGAATCTTGTTAATTTTAATTATAAATGTGACCTAGATTTAAGTTGTCGGAAGCACGAACACGTGTATAGGCCCTAGGTCACTTCTCCGACGCCATATTGAATGCAATGTTGCAGTTGATGAAACGGAAGTTGGTCAGCATGGTCAGGAAACAGAACTGTGTGTGTTAAAATATAACAGAGGACGTTGAATTGCGGAAGAAGTTGGATGGTAATGACTGATGGACGATGTCAGTATCTACGAAAGCCCAGAAGGCTCATTCGAGATTCAAGTTTCGAAATACGAGATTCGAAATTCGATTTTCGATATTCAAGACCCAAACTAACCAATCAAAAGCGGGTTCAACATTTGATTACTCCCCCTTTTTTATGTTTTTACTATCAAGAAATCGTTGAATATATTTATAATAAATGGATCATTTGCTAAAATGATTATGCAAGAAAAAATGTTTTATGTATTAAAACGAAATAAAAATAACATTAGGATTACATTTTGAAAAATACGTATATAATTTTATGTTTCTCATTAAACAAAATAGTAAATACGTATATATGGAATATTATATGGTCTTATCGTTGACTTGCAGAACAAGTAGGTCCACCATTTTTTTTATCAGATCATTGCTGAGGGAGAATATTGTATTTGATTATAATTAGATATGAAATACTAGACAAAGTATTATGAATCGTCTCTACACTGCACAGTAATTCAGGGGTATATATTCCATTAAATTTATAAAGGGTACATTTGTGCAGTGAGACGTGACTGCTGAATCGAACTGTAGCGTTATAAAGTTTCAAGAGTATATTTTAGTCTCTGGCCATAACGGTATGGTCAGAGACTAAAATATGAAGTCATACCGCTATAGTTCTGCATCTGATTTAGACTCATCTACTATTTATATAAGATAAAATGAATGCCGCATTTATTTTAATTTATATTGCCAACCTGTATTGTATATATAATTTTTACTCAAGCCCTAGAGGGGCTTGAGTTATCTAAAACGATGCTAGGTCATCGATTTACTCAGTTAAAATACACGGAAAGATATTATTTTTGTAAATAAAAATATTTCTAGAAACAAAAATGAAGCTAATCTTGAAAAAGTCTATATTCAGAGATATTAAGCCTTAAATGGCGGATTCTTTTCTAAAGCGAATGAACAATGAGTGAAGCTCCGCAGTCGCAACAGTTTCTATACAGATATTTCGCGCTTTCCTTGGCGAAGAATCTCAGGTAACTTTTACAGACGCCGACAAAGCATCATTGGACGAGTCCACTGTTTACTCTGAAAGATGACGCAGGTTACCCCATCGTTTACAAATTCTACTTTGCGTTGCCAGAAAACGTATGGTTGGACCCCTATTTTGAAAGTGCTTCTCACGGGTCTGAGAATGATGTGCATGTGCACTTTGAGTGACAGTAAAATAATAGCACAACATTAATGTTAAATTCTCCCTCGTACGTTTTTTTTATTTCAAAAAATCGTACTAGTTATCTTCAGCTTTGGTAACGGAACCTACATATCGTACGGAATATGTATTAGACATGCCGCACAGCCTGGAATTTTTAGAGCCCGGACTCGAGAGTCCCCCTCCCCAATCCGCTTTGAAAAACGTTTCTCCTGTAGACTTGTAACAAGCTATTTGGATTGATGTATATTAAATTATGATCGATGTACTTCATTAAGCAAAAAAAAAAAACAAAAACAAAAACAAAAAAAACAAAAAAAAAACAAACGTATATATAGTTTGACTTATATCAATATTAAAAAAATATTAAATTAAATTAAGAAACGGCCACTATGCTCTACAAAATATTTCTGAAAGTGAGTAACGTGAATTCATCTTAAAAAGCAGTACGATTAATTATCTTTATTCTAATTAAATTCGATATATGAATTTTGTTTCATGTACATATATTTTATTCAACAGAAGATTTAACCCAATAGCCCTCATCTTATACCATTATAGGATATTAATGACACTACCTAGTTGACTTTCTACAGCTTGAGTATCTCTGACGTTTTGTCAGTGTATACTTGTTAATTAATTTAAGAAATCAAAGCATTAGATGAATTAAGATAAGTAATTAAATAATTATTTTTTTATGTATTTCCTCTATCAGGAAAACAAACGCGATTTTTGTTTTTCAATACTACGTCGCCTTTCAAGTTTTACAAAGTAACATTTTCAGTGTGTTTGGAAAAATAGGCAGGTGGGGTGGGTAGGGGTGAGGTTATTGTTAATATTTAGACACTTGACATTTATTTATAGCTTTATATGACATCAACCCCGTGAACAAAGAAGACAATACAAAAATATATAACTCCTGATATATGTATTCTAATTAATATTTAAGAATCAATAATATAAAATGAAGTCAACCCCGTGAACAAAGAAGACAATATAAAAATATATATACTCCTGATATATGTATTCTATTTAATATTTAAGAATCCATAAAATAAAATGAAGTATATCTTGCTGATCAAAAATCCAATGATTATTTAAATTTCCTTCTAATGTATATAACACTCTTTCTTGCATTGTAATTTAATCAAATGGCCCATTTGTTATAAATATATTAAACGATTTCTTGATAGTAAAATCATAATAAAGGGGAGTAATCAAATGTTGAACCCGCTTTTGATTGGTTAATCTGGATCTTGAATTTCGAAACTCGAATTTCGAATTTTGAAATTCGAATTTCGAATCTCGTATTTTGAACCTCGAATCTCGAATGAGCCTTCTGGGCTTTTGTAAGTATCGGATGTTGCAGTGCAGATCTAGGGTATGTGGCAATGCCGATTTCTCAACGTGGTTCAGATGGGCTGTTTACCATGTTTACGGAAGTGAAGTTATCGGTCTCGCGAGGCCTCAGTAATAATGGACAGCATTGCGCTAGTGACTTGCTTTTGATCCGAAGATAATTCATTATTCATTTTGTTTGTAAAAAGATATATTATATCTAATAACTTAGTAAACAATTAAATAAAAAAATCTTTTTTTCTTTAGTGTACTTATACGCCACTCACACATGCAAGTTTGACGTTTGACCTTTCAGTATTAATTCAATAGAGAAATCTACATGCCACAAGAATCACGGAGAAATTAACAAGATTCACTTTTGTAGTGTTTATAGGGAAAACGATTGGAAATGGAAATATAGTCAAATAATTTACGAAATGCCGATATTAAAGATGTTTGTTGTCTCCTACGTTAATGTATATGTCAGTATCCTTATTTGGTTAAAAACAAAGTTGTCAACAGATTATACTATTACAATTTGGATAAGTTGGCAGGCGCGTAGCATCGTGTTTGAAAGTGGGGGGGGGGGGGGGGGGGGAGGGGGCCAGCTAGAGAAATTTTTGTTTTACTTACTTGAAAAAGTTGACAAGCAAAAAAAAAAAAAAAAACGAATAAGTTGCCGAAAGTCGAAAAACCTATTTCGGGGGGGGGGGGGGGGGGGGTTAGATAAACTTTTTCTCATAGTCAACTACTTTTAGTACCAATTCTAATACTACATTTTCGGTACATCACTAAAAGGGGGCCAGCCATGCTTTCTATTAACATTTCCTATAGTATAAGTAAGGTTGGGAAAAAAAGTGGGGGGCCAGGCCCCCCCCCCCGGCCCCCCCCCCCCCCCCCCCCCCCCCTGTTGCTACGCCCCTGGTTGGGACATATTGAATATTTCTTCTGAAGTAGTTTGCATTATGACTCAATGTCTGTAAACATCTATAAAATAATTTGATCTTTTACATAGAAGAGACAGTTGCACGTAAAACAGTCTTAAAAAGAGAAATGATGCGAGATGATACTCATGAAGTGATGTTAATTCTACAGCAAACTTAATCAGAAAAGAATGACCAGGACATAGATTTATTCTGCTTTACAATTGAACGAAAACATGTTTCTGTTTATTTGTACATGACATGATAGTTGTATGCTCAAGAGAACACCACTTTCCTTATTTCAAGTATTTTCAACTGTACTGTACCCCGTTATTAGCAGTCCTATTTTGATTTTCATATGAGGCAGATTTTTGTTCAAAAACTTATAAGTAAAAAGAAGAAAGCATTGAATTTCGCTGTTGCTTCAACTCGACATTTAAATATATCGACGACGTATTGCCATTTAATTATACTCATGTCGATACGATATGTCTTGGTGAGCTTGAAATAAAAGATACTTGAGAGTCCTACACATCTGTTTTATATTTAGATATTTTATTTAATAAGGAAGAAAATACGTTAATGATAATCTAACAATCAAGTCCTATGATAAACGTTACTTTTCAATCGTCAACTTCCCTTACTTATGTAGCAATGTACCTTCATAACCTGCGTATGGGGTTTTAATCTCTCAGTTGAATCGATATTTAAGACAAGAACATGATCTACATGTGAACAATTTCTTACATAAGGTATTTTATTCAACAAAATGAAACAAGAATATCATCAGTCTTGTTTCAGGTCATCATTTCGTAAGTTCTTTCAAATTATTGTCATCAAATACAATCTGTCATTACGTCAAATTTCATATTTCCTTAATTCCTTTAAAAATTCATGTGTTTTGAATATGGAAATAACAAGTAAAAATCCATTTACACTTTTCAAATGAGGAGCAAAGCAAACACGGATCTGTAAAACATAAAAGGCAGATAAGGTACCAAAGAGGAGAGGGATAACATCTACCGTGTAATATTTGCCATGATTTGAAATAAATGATAACATTGTACAAATATATAAGTAGGAAGAAGAGCTTGAAAAGAACCCCTAGTAATTCCAGAGGAGGAGAAAACATCCCCTGCTACTTAAATAACCCATTAATGTATTTAAATCCAACACTAATGATTTAATTGTCCTACTTGTAGAGTTTATAAAATAAGCCTTTTTATGATGTTGTTCAAACTTTAAAAAGTCATTAAATAAAAAGAAATAACATCGATAGTCACGTTTATTACATAGTTTATATATAATCTCTATATAATCAATACAAGCGCAAACTTTTCATAACACTGCATATTCACCGGATTTGAGGCCGTATTCACCGGAGAGTCAGTGTGCGTGTAGCGGCTTTTTGACGTCACAATCAGCGTTATAAATAACGTTGTAAACAAGGGTTGCAACGGCCGAAGCAAGAAAAAGAAATGTTAGACAAACCTATCGGAGGTTTATTTTTGTATATTTTGACGTCTTACATAAAGCGGAACTCGAAAAGGAAAACAAGGAGGTTACAAACTGTAATCTGTATATTTTGTTTTAATTTTCCACGACAGAAATGATGTTGTCGTGTAGCCTTCAATGTTTATTTATTAAAATTTGGACTATATAATAAAAAAAATTATGGACTCGGTCATTATTGATATTTTCTGGTGAATTACAAAACTATATTCAATACCGAGAAAGTCCATTTACATTTTCCATGTCTTAAAGTATAAATAATAAACTCAATATTTGAATTTCTCACCGTCCTATTTTGATGCATATTTCTAACGTCGCTGTAGCCTCATTTTGACGTCACGTTAGCGCACGTTTCTCTATGTATGTTATACACAAAAATGGTTTTCAAATCAATTTCACTGTTGGCTTACTAGTAAAACACAGCAAATATAAATATTATTGTATAATTTAAATGTAGAGATGTAATTTATTTTTTTCGAACGTTGTATTCCTTACAACTCCATTTTGTATCCAATTTTCCATGCCTACAAAGTAATGGAAAAAAAAACAACAATAGCATAATCAACATTTAACTTTTACATATTATCCCTTCAAACAGAAATAAAATTGAAATACTTTGAATTAAAGTGTTATCTTTTTTAAAAGAGATATATTAAACTTTATTTACTTTGAAATACTATGTAACATATCGTAAATTTCAAACATTTTACATTAGAAATCTGATGTCATTATTTATTGTAATTTTTGTTTTCCACGGTTATCACATGATAAAAATAATCATGTCTTTTACAGGTGAACCCAATAATGCTGGAGATGGTGAAAATTGCTTACACTTCCGGTTGTATGATGGAGTTTATTTTTGGAACGACATTTCTTGTAATGTGATTGGTGGTTATGTTTGTCAAAGTGAGTACTGTGATTACGATTTTCTAGTAATAAACAAAAGGATATTTTTTTTTCTTTTCTCAGAAGTTTTGCAGGATTATTTTGCAAAATAAATATACACTGTAAAACTCTTTGTAATGATACAAAACCCCGTTTTTTTTTTAAATCTTACTTAATTTTTTAGGCTTTAATAGAGAATAAAAAAATATTTAGATAGATAGAAAAACTTTTTAAACTTTTCCGTAAAATTAATAAAAGAACCATTATTATTATAAGATTTTCAAACAAAGCAGATTTTGCGGTGTCTGCTTATAAGAATTAGAGTAAGAAGGATATAGAGATAACGAACAGTATTCAATATCAAAGTCCATAAAACAATACAAAATAGCTAGGAGCAGAGCAAACAAGGGGCTCCGAAATATCAGAGGTGGGATCAGGTGCCATTGAGGGGTGAGCATCTCCTGCTGACCGGTCTAACCCGCCGTGTGTTTCTTGTCATGATCGGGAAATAACGGCAAAATCCGTCGTCAATTCAGTGTATAAATAATGGACTAACATTTACATGTAGTATGAAAAACGTCAGTCAGAATTTGACTCAATGATAAATTGTATTTGCTGACAAGGCCATTGTATCGACCATAGAACTTGCGAAATGATGAATTTAAACGAAGCCGCTGATATTCTTGTTTCATCAACTTGTCAATAATTTACCTTTTTTTAGAAATTGTTCATAAGTAGAGCATGCTCTTGCGTATCGAATCAATTGGGATATATATACTCCGTATGCAGTAAGTAATTAGAATCATGATAACAGAGAAAAAGCGAAATAATATTTTATCATATTATGCACACTGGTGGATGTGGAGACTGTTCCTTCGGATGAGGCTGTTTAAACCAACGTACCGTGACCCAGTAGGTGTTTGCACGAAAAAGACCCCCTCGCTGCTTAATGACCGTAAATGCTGAGTTTAGGACAAAAATCTACAGCACTCTACCAGCAAGTGGTGGCGTCTCCATATGAGTTAAAAATACAATCAATCAATCATATCATATCATGAATATAAAACTTTTTTGTCATATATACGCCATAAGAATTATAAAGATTGATTTAGAGATATTTTATTGGAAGTAAAACATATTTAATGAAACAAGATCAATTTTTTGGTACAGTTCCACACATGATTTTTTTTCACTGCTCAACGTTTAATAGGTAAATTTGAATAGATAACGTTTAATAGAAGTCCTTGAAGGAACACATGCACTCATGCACTCGTAAAAACATTGATCAATTCATGGTTCAAATTAAGGGTATCCAATCCTCAGCCAGGAAGGATAACTCTTTAATTTATAGTTTAATTTAAAAAGAACACTTTTCATTTTATGCTTCTTAATGTGATTCAAGCTTGTTTGAAGTTTTGATAAACTGTATTTAAAAAGTTGATATTTATGCAGCAAAATACCTTCCTCATGATTACTAGTATACGGGGTTTATATCTCTCAATTGATTCGATACGCAAGAGCAAGAATAATTTTTCAAACGAGGTAGGTTATTCACAGGCAAGCTTAAGTTGACGAAACAAAAATATCAGCAGTCTCGTTTAATGTCATCATTATGTAAGTTCTAAGATCAATACAATGACCTTGTTAGCAAATATAATTTATCGTTGAATCAAATGCTAACTTTCGTTTTTTCATACTTACTGTTTGATTATTATTTGCACACTGTAGATAAGACAATTGACATGAAATTATGCTTTGGTAATTGGTTAACAAAATTGACACAAAATAAACGTTTCATTGTTAGTTAAGACAATTGACATGATTTTTTTTTCAGTTGGGACAATTGATTTGAAATTGTTGTTTGGTGATTGGTTGAAAAAAAAATTGACAAGAATATTGTGTTTTTGTTTTTAGTTAAGACAAAAAAATGAAATAAATGACTTTATGAACAGGGACGCCATATAGCACGGAATCTATGACGTCAGTCACAAACGAGCAGTCTACAACATCAGCAATGGAGACAACTGTGACAACTCACGGTAAAAACAACGATACACTTTTCCTTTAACTGTGCTATTGTTTTGGCGTAAATGTCGAAAGAGAGAGATCAGAGGTATTTTGTTCTAAATACTATGTTTAACAAATACTGAGTATTGAACAGTGGTTATGTAAATGTGTTTGAGTGAATAAAGGATACCTCTTTTTAAAGTATAATCTAATTTTTAAATGTTTGTTTCTTTCTATCTCCATATTTTTAGGAATGCCACGCATAAAAAAAACACATGGAC